TGCATAAACATCTACTCACCCCAGATACAGAGCCCATGACAGACCAAAGTAAGAATACTACCAAGTCCAAGTGAGGGTCACTTACAGAAGCAGAAATGACTCCAAGACAGCTGCATCATTAAAGCCCACCTGGCATGGATGACATCTCAGAAAAGCTGGAACTCTGTAGCTTGCTGCACAACTCAAAGGCAACTTTGCAGGTTGGAGCTTGTCTCTTCCAGGCAATTCCTTGGGGCTGAGCCTCTTTCAGCTAGTTTGGCTGGTGTCTGAGGATTTCTATTGTTATGAAGAGACACCACGACCATGGCAACTCTTTTAAAGAAAAAGCATTTAACTGGGGTGGCTTACAGTTCAGAGGTTTAGTCTATTACTGTCATGGCAGGATATGGCAGTGTGCAAGCAGACATGGTGCTGGACAAGGAGCTGAGAGTTCTACATCTTGAACTGAAGGCAATAGGAAGTGAACTGAGACACTGGGCATGGCTTGAGCATACATGAGATCTCAAAGCCCATCCATACAGTGACAGACTTCCTCTAACAAGGCCATATCCACTCCAACAAAGCCACTCCTCCTAATAGTGTCACTCCCTATGAGCTTGGGGGGGGGGGGCAATTACACTCAAACTACCACAGCTGGTCTCTGCTTGTTTCAGGCAGCTTGCAAGATTTGCCTCTTCTAGGCAGCTGGCATTGTGCTTATGTAAGCTTGGAAAGGGAGGGACCTCATGTATCTGGTCAGTTTCAGGCACTTCCTGAAACTTTTGAGTTGTTAGTCCCCAAGTTTTCCTGCACAATGGAATGAGCTTTCCTGCACAATGGAATGTTCTACCTCCCTTCAGAACATTCTGTGTCTTAAGGAGCTTGCCTCCAAGATGGAATCTTGATGGACATATAGACTGGTTCAATTTCTTGACTACTGTGACTAGTGCACCATTGAATGTGGATATTTATCTCTGTGGTGTGTTGACTAGATGACCCAAGAGTGGTATAGGGTCACAGAGTAGTTCTACTTTCAGTCACATTTTAGAGAATCTCTGTGCTGATTTACATCATGGCTCCCACCAGCAGTGAATAAGTTTCCTCTTTGACCACATCTTTACCACCATTTGCTATCATTTTGTTTGTTTGTTTTCTTGATGATAACTATTCTGGCTGAAGGGAGATGGAATCTCAAAGCAGTTTTTAAATGTTGTGTGTGTGCCACAGTGCCCACCCAGACACCTCGCAGGAGTCGGTTCTCTCATTTCACCATGTGAGTTCCAGGGATTGAATTCCATGGTCTGGCTTGGCAGCAAACACCTTCACCCTCCAAGCCATCTCAGCAGCTCTCAAAGAAGTTTATTTCTATTTCTCTGTTAGTTAAGGATATTGAACACTTTTCCCTCAGGCAGTTATTAGCTCTTCATATTTCTTCTTTTGAGAACCAACTGTTGAATTCATTAGTTCATTTATTGATTGGAAGATTTGGAGTGTTTAATTTTTGTAGCTCTTTATACATTTTATGAAACTTTAATGCCCTGTTTGACAAAGATTGTTTTCCATTTTGTATGCTTCCTTTTCTCTCTGATGATTATTTTGTTTGGCATGGAGAAGCGTCTTAATGTCATATAATTGCATCCATCAACTCTTGGGATTATTTTCTGTGTTATTGGAGTCCTTTGTAGGAAATGCTTGCCTGTGCCCATATCTTGAAGGTAACTATGTTTTCTTCTATCAGTTTCAAAGTTTAAGATCTTACATTAAGGCCTTTCACTCAGATCCAGACACAGTGGTACAGGCCCATAATCCGAGCCCTTGCAAAGTGTTGACAGGAGAATCAGAAGTTCAAATTCAATTTCTAAGCTACAGAACAAGTTTGAAGCCAGCACAGGTTACAAAAGACATCATCTAAAAAAGCAAACAAAACAAAACAAAAATCTTTGATTCATTTTGAATTGGTTTTTTATGTAGGGTGAAGGATGTGGTTCTCATTTGTGGAAATCTAGTTTTCCCAGAACCACTTGTTAAAGAGGCTGTCTTCTTTCCAATGTGTTTTTGACAGCATTGTCAAAAAATGGGGTGGATGTACTTATGGGTTTATTTTTTCCTATTTTATTTCATTTTGCTATGTGTTTGTTTTTGTGGTGACACTGTGCTATTCTGGTTACTATTGCTCTGTAACATAATTTGAAGTCAGAATTGTGATATGCCCAGTATTGTTTTCTGCTATAGATGCTTTGACTAATCAGGGTCTTTTGTGCTTCCATATTGTCTTAGTTACTGTTCTATTGCTGTGAAGAGACATCATGGCCAACAGGACTTACAGAAAAAAAAAAAACATTTAATTGGTAGCTTGCTTACAGCTTCAGTGGGTTAGTCCATGATCATCATGATGGAAGAGTGTGGTGGCTGGCAAGCAGGCAAGAGAGGAGAGAGAGAGAGAGAGAGAGAGAGAGAGAGAGAGAGAGAGAGAGAGAGAGAGAGAGAGACTGGGCCTGACATGGGCTTTTGAAACCTCAAAGTCCATCCCCAGTGAGATATATCTCCTCCAACAAGGCCACACCTTCTAATCCTTCCTAAACAGTCTATCAGCTGGGAACCAAACATTCAAATATATGACCCTATGAGGGCTATTCTCATTCAAACCACCACACATATAAATTTTAGGGTTGTTTTTTTCTAGTTCTGTGAAGAACACCATTAAATTTTGATGGATTGCATTGAATCTGTAGATTGCTTTTGGTAACAGCCATTTTCATAATATTGATTCTGCTAATTTATGAGTAGGGGAGGTCTTCTGGTGTCTTCTTTAATTTCCTCAGTTTCTTGAAGCTTTTATTGTAACTGCCTTTCACACCATTGATTAGGTCTATTTCTGTTTTTCTAGGTTGTGTTGTTTGTTTTTGAAGCTATTGTGAATGAGATATTTTCCCCCAGGGATTTCTTTCTTGCCATGTTCTTATTGGCAGACAGAAGAGCTACCCATCTTTGTGAGTTGACTTTGTATCCTGATACTTTCTTGCAAGTGTGTATGAGGTCTAAAATTTTTCTGATAGAGTCTTTGAGGTCTTTTAAGTGTAAGTTCATGTCATCTATATGTTGGGATAATTTGACTTCTTTCTTTTTGGATCCTTGTAATTTCTTTTTCTTGTCTTAAAGTTCTAGGTATGACTTGGAGCATTATACTGAACAAGAGGGGAGTCACTGGCACTCTTGTCTCATTCTTGATTCTAGAGGAAATCCTCTGGGTTTATTTCTCCAGCCCATATTGTTGACTTTAAGTTTGTCACATTGTTATGCTGAAGCATCTTCTTTTTGTTCCCAGTTTCTTTCTGGCTTTTACATGAAGGAATATTGGATTTTGTCAATGACCTTTTCTGTATCAGTTGATATAATTTGATTTTTATCCTTAAGTCTATTTATGTGCTGAATTATACTTATTGATTTGCGTATGTACCTTGTATCCCTGGATGACACCAACTTTGTCACGGTGTTATGAGCTTCATGATGTAGTCTTAAATTCAGTTTGCAAGAGAGTTATTACAGATGTTGGCATCTGTGTTCTCCAGAGAAATTGGTACATAGTTTTCTTTCTTTGTTGTATCTTTATCCAGCTTTAGTATGAGGGTAACACTGACTTCAAGTTGAGTTTGATAGTGCTTCTCCACTTCTATTTTAGAGAACAGTTGGAGGAGCATTGGTACTAGCTCTTCTTTAAAGGTTTGGTAGAATTTATGATGGACTCATCTAGTCCTGGGCTTCCCCCCCACTTTGTCACAATACTTTTAATTGTTGCTTCAGTCTTTCAGGATTTTTATGGCTTTGTTTAAATTGTTTATGTCTTCTTGATTTAATTTTAATAGGTTATATAGTTTTTGAAATTCAAGTTTTCCAAGTCCCCCTAATGGCCCTGGTGTTTTTTATTGGAACTTGTAATAACCACTCTGTTAAAATCTCTATTTATGTTACTGTGGAACTTCTCTCTCCTTCTTTTGGTTAGTTTGGCTAGGGGTTTGCCAATCTTTTTTAAAAGTGGATATCATGACTTAGTTTGTTACAAAAATGTCTCGGGCAAATCTAATCCATTGCTAATCAGTTATTGGCTGATCCCTCAGCACCTTGTGCCCATTGTCACTGTTTGTCATTAACTCATTAGTTTTCTCTCTTTTTCATTTATTAAAAATTCCTTTTATTATCTGAAAATTTCATAAAAGCATATCATGTGCTTTGCTCACCCCCACCCCCATCTCTTCCCCTCCAATTCCTCCCTTGTTCCCTTGCCGCTCTTCTCACTTCCTGTGCTTTGTTTTAAGCTCACTGAGTCTGCTTAGTGTTTGCATGTATGGAACGCCATCTGTTGGAGCATGAGCAGCACCTCCAGGAACACACCCCCAAAGAAACTGCCTCTCAGTCCACCAGCACCCATTAATTGCCAGAACTTTCTTTTTGGCAGGTCTAGAGTATGGACTCACAACCAGCATGAGTTCATGAGTGCCACAACTCTGTCATGCCCAGCAGATACTAGTTCATGGCATACCTCTACCATCCACGGCTCTTAAATTTCCCCACCCCCTCCAGCATAATGATCCCTGAGCCTTGGACGGGAGGTAGATGTCCCATTTAGAGCTGAGCAATCCACAGTCCTTATTTCTCTGCATACGGACCAACTGTGGGTCTCTGGATTGATTGGCATCTACTTCAAAAAGCAGCTTTTCTGATGGGGGTTGAAAGATACCCTATTCTATGGGTATAAGAGTGAAAACTTAGTTGGCAGTTTATTTCTACGTCCATTCAGGACATGAATAGATTTAGCCAGCCTGGACTTAATGGCTCCAGGCAGGTCTTGTGGAGCAGGACCTAACACCAAGCAGAAAGTGACTGGTTACTCCGACAACATTGGTGGCACTGTTTCAGCAGTGAGGATACCATGCCAGACTAGTTATTGTAACTCACGAGGATCACAGCTGGGTAAGATTGATAAAATTTTTATCAATTATTGATATATTTTTCTCTCCTGACAGAACAGAACCATTTAGTGCCATAAAGGCCATCCAGTAGGGATGAAACTTCCAGGTAAGTACCAGCTTGATTTGAGGGAAATTTCTGCTATCATTTCATTGACTATATTCTCTAAACCTTTAGTGTTCATCTCCACTCTGTATTTTACTACATGGATCCTTATATTTGATCTTGATTGTGTTCCAGAGTTCTTGGATATTATAGTTGAAGGGACTCTGGCCAGCTTGAGCATGTGAACATGGCTGGTCAGGTGAACATGGCTGGTCAGGCCTTGTCCTTCTCTCCCATTCCTCTGCCTTGTTGAAAACCACTAGATTACATTCTCTTTTTTTTTTTTTTTATTTTTTGGTTTTTTGAGACAGGGTTTCTCTGTGTAGTGTTGGTGCCTGTCCTGGATCTTGCTCTGTAGACCAGGCTGGCCTCGAACTCACTGAGATCCACCTGGCTCTGCTTAAAGGTTTGCACCACCGCTGCCTGGCAGATTACATTCTTGAAGATAGCTAGACCCAAGATCTGTTCCCTTATTTGGCCACTTCCTCCTCCTGAGGCTGACTACTAAGGTCCAGCTATCAAAGTATTGAAGTCCTGCAATCAGAAGCCTCCTTTGGCTCACCTAATCAACCTGCTCAAATAAAATTAAACACCTCATCCTAACACAGGGTTTCCCATTTTACCTTTATAAACTGCCATTTTCCCATGTGCCACATCGGTCTCTCTATCCAGAGGCAGTCCCTTGTCCCCCCAGGACAAATATCCCTGCCCCCTTTCCCTTCTTCCCCTCCCCTTCTCCCTCATCCTCTTTCTCCTGTCTTTGTCTCTTATTCCCCGCCCTCTGTCTCCCTGGGGCAAATAAATCTCCTCTGTGCTGAGAACTTGGCCTTGGAGGTCCTGAGTTTCTCAGATCTGAAAATGTTTAGGGAAGCCTCCCTCCTCCTTCACTCACTCAACCACTTCCATTCAGTAAATTTCCTCTGGTTATAGATTTAAAGATCTGTTTCACTGAACTGAAGCCAGGAAATGTTCATACCTCTTAACCCAAAGCCATCAGCCTTTTGCTAAATCTATTTCGGCTGTCTTTCAGATACTTACAGGTTCCTGGGGAAAGTTCTGCTACTGTATCAAGCAATCTGGTCTGATGAACTAACCATCTCCGGAGCCCATTTTGACTCCACCCATCTTTCGAGCGTATTTTGCAGATTCACTCACTCTTCCCTCCTGACCTCCAGAGAAACAGCAGATGCCATGGCTTCTGTTCTCCTGATTTGGCATGCCATTTCCCCCAAGCTCCTGGAACATCACTGCAGCACCCTGCCTTCTCAGTTCCATCAAGGAACATACACCTAAGGCTCCCGCCATGTGCGACTCCTGGTTTCCCCTCCCCAGTTCACCCCTTGTCAGCATGAAGCAGACTCGAGAATTCAGCGCCCTTGTTCCCCGACTTGCTATCCACAACTCACCTTTTTATATAATCAGTGTTAGTTTTTTGACCTGCTCCTTGGAAACCCACCCCTTGGGGACCCTTCTAGCATCCCGATGTAAAGTCCCCATTAAAAAAGAGAACTCGGGAGGCAGAGCCAGGCGGATCTCTGTGAGTTCGAGGCCAGCCTGGTCTCCAAAGCGAGTTCCAGGAAAGGCGCAAAGCTACACAGAGAAACCCTGTCTCGAAAAACCAAAAAAAAAAAAAAAAAAAAAAAAAAAAAAAGAGAACTGCCCTTCCCCGATCCATTACCCGACGTGTGCACCCTCGACCCCTCTCCCCCCGCCCTTTCTTTCTGCCTCCATCTTTCCCTATCTTTCTCTTTGTCTCTATATTATAATAAACTCATTTCCACATGGATGCAGTGCCTGGGGTATGAGTGACTATCCACGTGCCACAACCCAACGCTGCATCTGCCCAGCGTTTTCCCTCACATGTGAGATACCCTGTCTGGCCCCCTTGTGCAATATCGTAACACTTTTCCTTTCAATAGTCGTGCTTACTTACTATTTTTCTTTATTGGTGTTTGAACATAGTATTTCATCAACCTTGTCTTCCATTCATAATACTAATTTTTTCTTGTTTGGTTGAGCCTATTGATAATATTTCTCATTATTATTTTTTTCTATTTGTGTTGGTGTTCTGTCTTTTGCGGGTCCATTGAAGAAAAAGGGTCACTCCAGAATGTAATTTCAGGCTTAGCAAAAAGCAGCAAGGGGACTCAGTCTCAATGGACTGACCACTTTTGGCTTTGCAAAAGCCTCCTTTTATTGTTATACAAAAAACACCTTTAGCAAACCAATTTCTGCACACCAAAAGCCCTTATCTGGAGTTGTTTGAAGGAACCATTTGCCTATGCACTTCTCAGCCATGAGACCTCCCGGCTCGCCAGGTCCTCTCAAGACTAAGTTTTTCAAAGGTTCTGGACTCCTTCAGGAAGAACTCTGGTAAGAATCAACTGACTTTAAACAAAAGCTCGCTCAAATCCTAGGTTCTAGCACTCGGGAATTCAGTCAGATGCAATGGCTCTGTGAAATCTCATGCATATTTGATTCATTGAGTTTTTAATTTCCAACATTTGTTTTTCAAAAATCTCAGTTTCCTTGCTGAAATTTTCTTCCACATAACTGACTGTTTACCTCTGGATCGCTCATTTTCTCATCCATTTTTGCTGCCTTTTTTCACAGTGTTTCTGATCCTCCTATCCAGGTCCTGGATTGACTTTATTTGTTTGTATCCTCTTTGAGGTCATCAATCATCTTACCAGAAAACTTTTGAAGTTCATGTGACTTATAATCTCTTTCAATGTCTTTGAGAACGGTAGTCGAGGAGTTAGGAACTTTACAGGGATCATGTTTCCTTGCCTTTGTGTATTTCTTCTATTTCAGTGCTGTAATTTGTGCATCTTTTGGAAAAGAAAAAGAAGAAAAAAAATACACCAAGTCCAATTTGTGTTGCCCATATACTCATGGAGCATGGTCAAACTCCCAGCAGCCAGCCCCCTAAAGATAACTGAGTCCTGTCCTCTCCCATCCCCCACCCCTGCCAGAAGTCATTAACTGTGAAGAGCTGGACTTCAGCGTCTTTATTACAATTTTTAAGAAACGCCTTTAATCCCAGCACTCGGGAGGCAGAGGCAGGCAGATCTCTGTGAGTTTGAGGCCAGCCTGAGCTACAGAGCGAGATCCAGGAAAGGCGCAAAGCTACACAGAGAAATCCTGTCTCGAAACTTTCTTCATTGATTTTCTGTCTGGACGGTTTCCCCCCACCTCGGCCGCGGAGGTGCGGAGGTGGGGTGGTTGTCACAGAAGCCTTCAATGTCTCTCATTCTCACTTATGAGGCTACCACTGCAAAAGCTTCCTTGCCCATCACAGACAGCAACAGCATGGGTCATGGACTTCCACATGGTTTCTGGCAGCAGCACAAACCACGAGGTGAGGTCCACAGGCACCAACCCAGGCCACTGACATCCACATGTCCTCCAGTGGTCCTATGGACCACGGACACCAACATTGCACAGGCCGTAGTCCTCAATACCGTCTCTGGGGGCAACGAGGACCACAAACATCAACGTGGCCCCTGGCAGCAGCACGGACCATCTTTCGAGGAGGACCAATCCAGAAAATGAACCATTTTCCATCTTGGATATCCTGCCATTGTTCAGAGCCAGGGCAGTCGTGGGATTGGGCGGAGGCTGTGTGAGCTCCAGGCCACTGCACACCACGCTGCCAGCCCCACTCGGGGATGTGTTCCCACACCTGTCACACTACCGCACATCTCCAGTTCCACCTCTCTCCACCGCACTTTCGGCTCAATTCTGCCATCTTTCCCACTTCGCCATCCCACATTTATTCATTAAAGTGACATTGCAAACTTCAGTGTGACACTGTATGTTTTTGCCCAAACAGCTTTACATGCAAATGCTTATTGCCATGAGTCATTGGTCTGACTCAAGGTTTCTGGTTTCTGAAGCACCATAAACACTGAACTATCGCTGAGACTCATCTAGGATATCATGTTGCCCGGAGTCAGGCTGATCTTGCCGACTGGGCAGTACGTCTTGGGGCAGGATCCTTGAGAGATCAGGGTCACTGCTGCACACCTCTCTGCCCTCCGTGCCAGCTGCCCTGCTGGCTCACCTGTACGACCATTGTACTTGCACCATGGCCAGTGTGAGCCTGCGCTCTCCTCCCTGCAAACTGCAGCAACAGCAGCTCTGTGCTGCAGGCAGGGCCAGCCGGACCGAGTCTCCTGGCAGACGGAGGACTGGACCTACTCAGATCAATACTTTGTCAGCTGTGGCCACGCTCCCATAATGCTCCCACACCTGTTGCCTCAGCCTCTTCTCTCCTCCACTCCCTAGCTCTGCTCCGCCATCTTTCCTTCCAATTTCATGAGTCCACTCTTTCTTTTCTTTTCTTTTTTTTCCTCCCTGAGACCGGAATTCTCTGTGTAATAGCCCTGGCTGTCCTGGAACTTACTCTGTAGACCAGGCTGGCTTTGAATTCACAGGGATGCACCTGAATCTGCCTCCTGAGTGTTGGGATTAAAGGCGTGTGCCACCACTGCCCAGCTCATCTTTTAAATTAAAATTTTTTCATAATTTGATCATTTTCTCCTTCCCCAACTCCTCCAAGATCCTCCCCTCATCCACCCAACTTTTTATTCTCTTTCTCTCATAAAAACAAAAAGCAAAAACACCCCACAAAAACATAAAAATGAAAACCAAAACAATCAAAAGACCAATGTCTTAGTTAGGGTTTCTATTGCTATGAAGAGACACCATGACACAGCAACTCTTTTTTTTTTTTTTTTGAGTTCTTTCTTTTTTAAATAGAAAAATATCTTTTTTATTTTTATTTTTTTTCTCTGAATGCTATTTATTGAAGGCGGGGAGGAGGTCTTAAATACAGGCTTGCAGCACAATGGGAGAACCCCAGAGGGCAGAAGTTCGCTACCAATGTTTTACAATCTTGACACAGCAACTCTTACATAGGAAAATACTCATTTGGGGCTGGCTTACAGTTCAGAGGTTTAGTCTGTTATCATCATGGTGGGAAGCATGGCAGTATGCAGACAGACATGGTGCTGGAGAGGTAGCTGAGAGTTCTACACCTGGATCAGCAGGCAGCAGGAAGAGAGAGTGACACTGAGCTTGTCTTGAGCTTCTGAAACCTCAAAGCCCATCCCTAGTGACATACTTCCTCTAACAAGGCCACACCTCCTCATCATGCCACTCCCTATGGACCTACAGAGGCCATTTTCATTCAAACCACCACAACCAATATGACTAAAACACCAAAACAAATTAAGAGTCTCCCGCCTCAAAAGAAACCAAACCAACAAAACATTTGAGTTCATTTTGTGTTGGCCAACTACTGGGCATGGAAGCTACCCTGAAATGTGGTTGATATATCCAGTGACCCTCTAGATATTGGAGAGAACTGACTTTCCAAAGCCAGAGGGTGTCAATTGTAAAGAGCTTCTTGGTTAGAGGCAAGACACCTTGTCCACTTCCCCTTACCAACGCTGGGACCCTGTCTAGCTTGAACCTCTGTAGGTGTTGTGTGTTGCCAGTCTCTATGAGTTCATATGTGCATCAGTCCTGTTGTGTCTAGAAGACAAGGCAGGTGGGTAATTTTTTTTGAGCAGCCTATTTTTTCTTGTTGTTGAGACAGGATCTCATTTAACCTAGGCTGCTCTCAAATCCAGTATGATCCTGAATTTGATCCTCCTGTCCATTTCTTCTAAGACTTCTGATTACAGCCATGTGCCCCAACTTTGAGCAGCCCACTAAGTATAAATGGAGTTTTCCCATTCTGACTGCCCAGTCCCAAATAAACACATAGAGCTTTATATTAATTATAAATGCTTGGCTGCTGTGGAGTGTCATTCTGTATGCTGTGGATGTGTGCTGTTCTGATTGGTTGATAAATAAAATGCTGGTTGGCCAGTAGCCAGGCAGGAAGTATAGGTGGGATAAGCAGACAAGGAGAATTCTGGGGAGAGGAAGGCTGAGTTAGGAGTCACCAGCCAGACACAGAGGAAGCAAGATGACAAGGCAGAATTAAGAAAAGGTATCAAGCCATGTGGCTAAACATAGATAAGAATTATGAGTTAATATAAGTGTAAGAGCTAGTTAATAATAAGCCTGAGCTAATGGCCATACAGTTTGTAATTAATATTAAGCCTCTGTATGTTTATTTGTGTCTGAGTAGCTGCAGGACCAGATGGGAGAGATTCGTCCCAAGTGCAGGACCGGAGAACTTCTAACTACACTTGGCCAATAGCTCAGGCAAATTACTAACTAGCTCTTACATTTATTATTATTATTATTATTATTATTATTATTATTATTATTATTATCTTTTTTTTTGGTTTTTCGAGACAAGGTTTCTCTGTGTAGCTTTGCGCCTTTCCTGGGACTTACTTGGTAGCCCAGGCTGGCCTCGAACTCACAGAGATCTGCCTGCCTCTGCCTCCCCAGTGCTGGGATTAAAGGCGTGCGCCACCATCGCCCGGCTATTATTTTTATTTTTGTATTTTTTTGGTTTTTTTGAGACAGGATTTCTCTGTGTAGCTTTGGAACCTGTCCTGAAACTCACTCTGCAGCCCAGGCTGGCCTCGAACTCACAGAGATCCTGCCTCTGCCTCCCGAGTGCTGGGATTAAAGGTGTGCACCAC